TCCTGAAAAGGATAGAACTGAAATGTGAAAATATATGGAGGATTACGGTGGATTTAAAATAGAAAATTTATTTTACCTTGTGTACTTCTTGGCAAAGACGCTAGCACTGATTGGCGATGCACGCATGCGCATCTCATGTGACTCCGTAGTGACGTAGGCTGATGACAAGATAGAATTGAAAACAGAGAGAACAAATTCACTGAGAATTATCAAAGAAAACCTTTATTCAAGACTATGACTAATTAGAAAGAAATGCATTGCAGAAAAAGTTATAAATTGTAGTAAAAACAACATACAACTTAACTTTTATTTCAACTAACCTCTTCCTCGTATTGGCCGCCATATTGGAAGCGATGTATCGGTGGATTGTTGTAGTTATAATGATGTTTGTCCCCGAGCCGGTGCGGAGCACCGTGTGAGGGTACTAATTCCACCCGGAGATTAGGAATTACACCCGGGTATTGTGACAAAACATAGCGGGATCCAAAGTTATCAAAATTCTATGTCATGGTCGTTGAATGGTTTTGTTAGTATAATCTTTCTGTTTTCAAAGCCATGGATTGAGGGTGGTAGGCAGTAGATTGCAAAATCTTCTTATAATTATTACAATAAGACAGAGCATGCATCTTTTCTAATAAAGAAATAGCCGAAAACATTTTCTGATGCAGAAAAGCATCAGGCAGAAAAACGTGTTGCTGATTAGTTATGGTTACATGCGTGTGAGTTTGAAAGTACCCGAAATATATTCAGTGGGGAAACGAGACCATACGTAGGGTGAGTTATTTCGGGGTCACCCAGACTCCCGCAAATATGTTTATAGCTGCAAGTATATAAACACAAGAAGGAAACTTGGATTCCTATTCCTTTTATAACTTAACAAAAGAGATTTTATAAAAATTCATTAAATCGATTCAATTACAAATTCTCATAATTAACAGCGCTTCGCTGGTCAAATTCGGCGGGAAAATATCCGTGTTTCTGATACAGTTGTGAAATACGCTTTGGGAGCGAATAGCACGCGCGTACTATTAATTTTATATTATTATCATTCAATTTGATGCTATATACTGTCTGTGCTGTTATAAGATGGAGCACAAGAATTCTACTATTCTCAAATAATCCCCGAGCGGACGCGGAGCGCCTGCGAGGGTACTAATTCCGCTCGGAGATTAGGAATTACACCCGAAACCCGGGAGAACATAGCTGAATCCAAAGTTGTCCAAATTCTATGTCATGGACGGTGGACGTTGGGGGGTTTTGTAAGCAAGCACATGCGCGAGTAAAGACTGTTAATCAACAAACGTTACGATTGGCTAAAAATAGAAAGTTTGTATTTCAATGAGAACGTAAGTAATTTAACTGTCATTCGTAAACCTTTTTGTAAAAGCGTTTCATAAACTTTGTGCAAAATAAAGCGAGAAGAAACAAGATATATGAAGCAAAAAAGAACATGGACATGCACAGTTGAAGACAAAGTGGTGTAAGAGAAATAATTCATAATCTGCAAGCTTATAAGTGTTTTCAACAGGTACGTGTTTACTTTGTTTATTTCGTATTTGTTTCACGATAAGGATGAGTTGTATTTGTATAATTATGAGTCGTATTTGTTTTGCGATAAGGATGAGTTGTACAAGTTATCTTATATGCCGATGATGCTGTAATGTATTTGCTGATAAGGACAACTGGTTTTTGGATAATAATCGGATCAATTTTAAAAACCGAAAATAGAATGTGTTTTATTTGGGACTCCCCAAAAAAACCTCCCGAATAGCGAATTTCGAGATAAAAATTAACGGAACTCAAATAACGGAATCAAATACTTACGAGCACCTTGGCGTTACAATGGACACTGAACTACTCGGAGCATCTGAACAAAATATTGAAAAAAGCTGCATCAAGGGTTCGTTTGTTATCTCGGATACGGTACAACATTGATCCACATACCGCCGAAACAATTTAGAAGATGATGATTTTACCTGTGATGGCTAATTGTAGTAATGTCTTTATTGATTTGCCGAATTGTCGCAAACGGAAGTTGGAAGATAGCCAGAATAGGGCAATGCAGGTTGTTTTCGGCCCTTCCAATTCATTAAAATGGCCAAGTATAAATGAAATTAGAAATAGGAGATGTGTTCATGAGGTGTTTAAGTGCCTTCATATACAGGCTTGCACCTATGTCCCTTCAGAAGAGTTTTGCGAGAGTAATTCATTCCAAAAACACCCGTGGAAACAATGTGAACCTGAGCCTGCCAAAGGTAAAGACCGAAGCAGGAAGGAAACGTTTTGCATATCAAGGCGCAATCATTTTTAATAAACTTCCTAATGACTTAAAGATTGAACAGTCAATATTACGTTTTAAGGTGGCTCGATACAGTTTTCAAAAATTCCATCGTTCATCACTTTCACACACACGTTCAAACAACGCATTTTACGATTCATTCTAGAGATATTGGGGTTTTTATAATTTTGATGTTTCTACTTTTAAATAGTATTGGTTGTAGTAACATATCGTCCGTTGCTATGGCGACATACGTGAACAAAATTCACTCCAAAATGACGAATTGCCTCGGATAGTTGGAAAAGAAGCACGGTGATAGCAAAATATAAAAAAAAATTATAATTGCAAAAAAAATTACCGAAAAAAATATCATTTTTTCATTTTTCAAAAATGTGGCATTATAGAATTTTTTTATATTTTGCTAATTGTTAGTTTTTCTTCCAAGTAAAATAATGCACAAAAAAAATTGGAGGTCACCGTGCTTCTTTTCCAACTATCCGAAGCAATTGGTCATTTTGGAGGGAATTTTGTACACGTATGTCGCCATAGCAACGGACGATCTGTTAATAAAACTTATACGATTCAAAATTAGAGACATCAAAATATATAAAACCCCCAATATCTCTAGAATAAATCATAAAAATGCGTTGTTTGAACGTGTCAAAGTGATGAACAATGGAATTCTTGAAAACTGTATCGAGCCACCTTAAGAACACATGCAATAGCATTAACTTAGATTTTTAACTTCTTTGGGACCTGTTATATTATAGGTATTTTATCTATAGATTTTATTCATTATAGCATCTTTTTTTAAATTTAATCTTACTTGCATGGTTATAGGTGTTTGCGTTTGTATACGTATGCGTGACTTTAATGCGTAGGTGGTGTCTGGTGAATAAAAGGATTACACATTGGGAAATGAATCGATAAACTTCGATCTTTTATATAATATTCTGGACCTAACGGCTTATAAGTGAAGTTAGATAGCTCACGGTTGTGGTTCAACGAACAGGCATTAATCAAACTGATGTTTTCTTAGTGTGTGGTGTAGCTATTAAGCTGTATATTGATGTTATTTCCTGCATGAGCTATATTATGTTAAGAGACTGTTTATATGGTTTCTAATTTAGGGGTTTGCATGAGAGAAATAAATTGTTCATTGTGCAGGAGCCAAATGTATCAAGCCCGTTTAGCTTAAACGGCGGGTAAGTCAAATTTAACCCTTTTACATCTCTTTTGAATGAGTCAACTTGCATATTATGCACTGAATATGTAGTTGTAAACAGTATCTTTGTATTAAGGTTGAAAACATTTAGTTCGCTTGTTGAATAAAACGAAAGACTTGCTTTCTGTTTGGACTTATCCACCGTTTAAGCTAAACGGGCTTAATACAACAACCGGCCCAAGAAGTGCAGCTCGATTGGAACCAAAATTTTGCTTTACGACGAAGAATCAAATAACATAAATAATGTTCACTGATCCTGGGGAATGTTTCCCCTACTAATTTATATTGAAATTTGTAAGATATGTGTTAATCAAATCTGTTTCCTTAAACGCAAGTTTTCGCACGTGTAATTTTAACATGCAATTAGGGGTTTTAGGACATAATGTAATCAGTTGTAATTCGCTTTTTTTATCTTGTCGAATTGCACCAGAAGACGAATTTCTTAAATTCAAACTGGCATAGTGTATCAATTCGTCAATACACGGAACTCGTAGTGTGAGTATTCAAATCACAAATATAACAATGTAAATATCATCGCCCAGAAGGTCAATTTTTTCAAATTATTTTATGGTTTGCAAAATTATCTGATCTTCTTATTTCTGTATCTCAATTTAACTTTGGAGATCAAAACACTCGAAACATATTTGCACTTAGCTTATAATTCCGTGCACGTATTGTACGTGATCATGTATATTGTATCAAACCCACCAAAAATTTGCATCAAAGAACACGCCCTATGTTTACATCCGGGCGAGACTTGAACAGATCACAAAACACGATGTCGCGTTTGATTTCCTTTTCATTATCAAATATAACGGGAGAAGGAAAATGCCTCTGAATGTGTTTATCAAACTTTGTGCGTTTGTTTTATTTGTCCACTTTGCAACTTCTGAAAGTACACGTAAGTGATGTTTGCATACAATAGATTAAACGATTGACTTTGCAAATTCTTTATTTTTGAACTTACTGCTAGTTGTAGTTTTTGTCGAATTTTGTTATGCAGAGCAGTCAAACTAGACAGCGCTAATTAGGGCCGTGCGGTCGTATAATAATGTAAAGTCGACTCCAGATCCACGAGTTCTCAATTCGAGAGAGCATCAGTTACACATAAATTGGTGGGTCCTCAGACATTATAGATGGTTCTGAGACCTAAATCCACATGTATAGCGGTAAAACATGGTAAATTTTAATTTCGTATCATCGTCTGCAGGAGACTAACGAGCCCCGCTATTGTTTTCTATACCATACTTTATAACTACTGTATAATCTCGTAAGCAAAAACCGAAATCCTATTTGAATTCGGCATCGTTGACATCGTCCTGCGATGTAAGAGTATTGTGTGTCAATACATGATAATTGTTTATGCTACCTGATATTGTGACTACTTTAGGATACTGCAATGTATTGTGATGTTTGTAGACAACATATTTTTTGTGAAAAGTAAACTAATTAGCGGAGTTAAGGAAAATCGGGGTTAAGTTAAAATGCGGAACGGATATGGCGTTAAAATACGGAACGGATATGGGGTTAAAATGCGGAACGGATATGGGGTTAAAATGCGGAACGGATATGGGGTTAAAATGCGGAACGGATTTGGGGAAAAAATGCGGAACGGATATGGGGATAAAATGCGGAACGGATATGGGAATAAAATGCGGAACGGATATGGGAATAAAATGCGGAACGGATATGGGAATAAAATGCGGAACGGATACGGGGTTAAAATGTGGAACGGATATGGGAATAAAATGCGGAACAGATATGGGGATAAAATACGAAACGGATAGGGGGATAAAATGCGGTACGGATATTGGGAAACAGGATAGAGATAAATTACTGCTTAGAACATCTATGGAACATCTTAGAACATCTTTTTTATTTCAATTATAAAAAGAATATAAATATGAATTACTTTCAGCAATCCCTCTCACATTTCTGCAATCACTTCACAAAAACTATTATTCTCATAAGGCAGTTCAAGTTAGAATACACGCGACACTCATGATGTCGCAAATTCGAAACAAAACACAACGAAAAATATTGATTATCCAGGAGAATTCGTCAATCCTAATAATGTTAAAACCGCATACCAAACTGCTTCAAATATGTGATGTGCTCAGGCAATAGATGTGGTGCAAGCGCTGGTGGTAACTGGACTATGCCTAGTACAAAGCACGGCTGTTTCATTCTTATACAGCTGAGTTGGGGGTAAAATAGACGTTTCCTTTTCGTTTGCGGGAAATTATGGTTCCCATTTCACTCTTTATCCGTTCCGCATTTTATTCCCATATCCGTTCCGCATTTCAACCCCATATCCGTTCCGCATTTTAACCCCATATCAATTCCGCATTTTAACCCCATATCCGTTTCCGTTGCGTCGATCCGTTCCGCATTCGCATCCGCATTTTAACCCAACCTAGGAAAATCGTTTGTGCCAACAGGATACATAATTGGTATAATAAAAATTCAGTTCCAGACTGAATCCGGATCGGATTGAAAAACTGGGCCAAGTGCATGGTAGTCGAACAAGCAGCTAAATATGACGACAGGTATTGGCAAACATTAGCCGTCGAGGCAATAAAAGATGGATTTTTGTGTATTGAACCAGGCTGCATGCAAATACGACTGAGATAATCATCAAGATGCAATATGCATGTATTCGTAACGAAAGTAATAATAGCCACGAAACTTATTGCATCGATATTTTATCATGCTTTTAGGGATTTTTAGCGACGGAGGTTTAGTAGTACACTTTTATATTTATATGAAACGAAAATGCCATTTGCTGTATAGAGGCTACACACACATTACAAGGTTCGTAATAATATTATGCCCAAATTTTAAAACGTTAGCGAAACACACAGTGATATTGGTATTGAAGTGTAAATTTCCGTATGCAAACACTGCCTGATATTGCCAGGTCATGCATTACAAACATGCTTAATGTCAATAGCGAGTTAGGAAAATTTATTTATCTTGAAAGAAGATGAAATCACTGTGTGCATGGTGTTATGTATTCCCTTCTATTGCTAAAGGCTAAAAATATAATCTGAAAATCTGTGATCGCCGTGTTTTTAAGTTATATAAAAAGCTTCCCACCAACCTGAAAATACAATATTTAATTCACAATTAAGCAAGAAAGACGTCAATGATAATAATGATAATGAAAACTTTATTTCGCTGTCAACTGAAAGGCGGGAGATTCCACTTAATATAAGGATACTTCTAATATGCAATATACCTAGATAACAAATGAAGTTTAAAATTTTTGGCTATATTCCCATAAACTAGAGTCCAATAATATTCGTCGTATAGAATGTCCTTACGTTACACATAATTTATATCTATGCATATACTTCTGTCACCTATATACGTATGTCGTCTCTGAACGCATTTTGCATGGGCGTATCATCTCATGGGCGCATTTACTAGCTTGGAAAAATAAATTATTTCCAATATCTTATAGGGCCTGATAACACTGTAAATGTTTCACATAATATACTAGAAAATTAATATACATGCATGCATGCAGCACCCTTCGCCATTTTCCACCAAGAAAATAATCTCCTGCATGGGCGTAGATTAGCCAAACAAAATATAATTTTATATTAGGGCAATTTATAAGGGGCAAAATAAAGACGCAAGCTGGATAAACAGTTAGCCGATCATTTCTTCGCGTCCTAATTCCATATTAAGTGTTGTTGCCACTCCACGTATCTCTTGTTTTTGCTGGAGTTGTAAAGAATCCATGCATGGTGTCAGCTTGCTTGTATTTTCCGTTCGATTCTGATTTCTGACTTTTTGGCCGTGCTCACACATGCGTTGTTTTTTTTCTCGCGACTTGGATACGACGCGTTTTATTTAGAAGCCAACAAGAATTTTGTATCGTTACGACGAGTTCAAATAAGTCGCAAATAAGTCGCGACTTATTTTTCCACGTATAAATGGCCCGATTATGGAATGCCGGACTCATGGCAGGGCGTCGATAGCTAATATTTTTATCATTTGGTATAAAATATAGTCAAAACATTGAAGGTGATGTCACCCGTTTTTTACACGCTCGTTTATGGACCCTACCAGCTTAGGTAACTGTAGAAATTTCAACATTTGAGGCTTTAGGTTAAAGCCTTTCATAGCCCAACATGCATGACTTTGGAAAACGACTCATCCAGGTCATAATTTTATATTATTACATAAATAAACTGCATACTTCTTCATACAGCAAACACAGAATATTATAAACAACTACATGATATAATATAGACGCGTACCAACTTAAAACATTTCAAATCTTTATATAGAGCGTAAATTGTTCCTTTCAATGCGCTTCAGCTTTAAACTTGAAGAGCAACCCTTTTTGTTTCTTATATAAATGTTTCTTGATGATTTTCATTGGTTCGGTTATTATTTTTCCCATATTATTTGGTGTATCTTATGAAAAAATTTAAAAAAAAGTGTGCTAATTGCAGTTGAAATACAAATTTCAGACTCAGCCAATCAGGAAGTTGCTGATTGATGGTTTACACCCATTTAAATTTCGCCCATGCGCATACCTAACAAAAACATCCAACGTCTATGACATAGAATTTTGGCAACTATGAATTCCGCTATGTTCTGTCACAATACCCAAGTGTAATTCCTAAACTCCAGGCGCTCAGGGATTACCATGGATCCCCCTGCCTCTTAACCGTTCTTTTTTAGATTTAATAAATTTGCTTTCTTGACACCTTTGTAAAACTTTGCACATCAATTATTGTGATACAGCGACTTCTGAGCCATGTCTAGCTTATAAACATCGTTTTATACGATGGATAAATGGTAGACCTATACATTAAAGGCCAGTTTACACGAGCATTTTTTCCGTGGCAATTTTTCTGTGACAAATGTATTTGATCGTGTAGATGAGATAACAAATAATTGTCGATCGCTGTTTGCGATGCATATGTTGTGGCCACCATCTTTGCTTTATTTCGAGTTCATAGCAGAGGCCGGGAAAGTCGAAATCATGTGGCTTGACATGCGGCGACCGAATGGACCGACGCCACATTTTCTGTGACGAGTAATCTACACGAGCAATTTTTCGTATGTGACAACTTTTTTTTGTCATATAAAAGCTAACACTCCAGCTTTTCAGCAAATGTATTTGCCACACAAAAATTGTCCAATTTCGCTTGTCTACACGAGCAAAAAAATTGCCACATACAGTAATTGAAAAATAAAAGTTGCTCGTGTAAACCGGCCTTAAACTTCAGTGGTTCTTCTACATAGCTATATGGTAATTAAGCGAAGAAATGATTCGGAAAATTTTGTTTTTACTCTGATTTTTTTTTCATTCGAGTGAATACTCATGTATGAGTGCCCTCTGCCTTTTTACTCGTTCACATCTCTCAAAAGGAGAAAAACGCAGCGAAAATTGCAAGTTTAAACGGACCATAAGAAAGAGAGAAGAAGGAAAGAATAAAAACTAAATAAGATTTCGCTGATTTGAACCCGGCCGACCTTTAGTTATTCCCTTAAAAACAGGCTAGGTCATTGGTGATGGTGACTCAAACTAAGAGGCTGTTTATCGACCAAAGAAGCACATGCTATTGTTGTAGTGATTATACGACTGCCAGGATTATGTTATCTGCTCATTTCAATACCTCGAAATTATCTCACGCTTCGTTCAATCTCCGGTAATTGGGCTCATGTAAAAAGCCCAGCATGTGATTGTGATAATTATAATTTACAGTAAACGAAATCCGGTTACGAGGACCATCAAGTTTAAATGGTACTGGCCGACTCGAAGTGTTCTACGGAGGACAATGGGGAACAGTCTGTGATGATGGATGGGATATAAATGATGCTCAAGTAGCATGTCGTCAACTTGGTTTCCCTGGTGCTCGTCAAGCTCTTCAAGGAGGAGGTGTTCCTGCTGGGTTAGGACGGGTTTGGTTAGACGAAGTTGGTTGTACTGGTACAGAGTTAAACCTTTCAAATTGTTCACATGATGGTTTGGGAACCAATGACTGTGGACATTCTGAGGATGCTGGAGTAGTATGTTCATCCGAAGGTAGCTAAATCTGCAACAAGGCTTTTGACTGGCATTTTGTGATACATTCAATAATTATTGGATAAAGTTGAGCGTGGTATTAAGAATTATCAAGGCAGAGTTTGCGTTATCGCCCGAGGTCGTATAGGCTGAGGAAGATAACGTCAACCGAGCATTGATCATTGGTTGTTCTCAATATTTACGCGAAAATCGAATTTAATAATTATTTTATTATTCACCTTAACCATATTTTCAAGCTTCGATGTAGAGTAGTTTCAAGAGCAGTAGTTTGTGCAATTTGACGTCGAATTTGGCTAACCAATGAAAAGGGAGATTGTGTATACAGCAGTAATGAATAATTAATAAAACTTAGTGTATTATAATTATTATATTATATTCCATTCCCCGTTCATGATTGTTTAGTATCACTGCATCAACAGGATCAACTCGAATTGTCTGAATGTTTCCAATTTCAGACGAAAACATGTTCTTTCTGTCTCAGTTCGAAGAATCGTTAAATTTAGATATTCCAGTCAACTCAAATAAGGCCGGGACAAAAACAATATTCTGGGTCAAAGCTTTTTTCATTGCGAGATCCAGCAAATATGCACACTCGATCTTAATGCAGGAAAAAGATAGACATTAATGCATGGCCTCCAGGCGGGCTGTAGTATAATGTCATAATATAATTAAAAAAATTAAATCGTTGCTTCTTTTTAAGGAAATATAACAAGCCGAATTTTCCGTTCATGATAATCATATTATTTTATTCAATAATTTGGGGCATTAAAATTTTTATAAATTTATCAGTACATAATATGCACTGTATTACTTTTTATAGAAGTTGAACCTTGTTCGTTAGGATTGCACAACTGTCACAATAATGCTCAATGTATTAGCGCTAATTGGTGGTTTACATGTAAATGCAATAAAGGTTTTACTGGAAACGGCGTTAATTGTAGTGGTAAGTAGTATCTTCGTCGTCTTGTTCACTTTTTCTGCTACAATGGCTGCCTGTACAGAACAATCAAATTCTGAAGAAACGACATTGCGATTGGACACTTATGACTCTTAATGTTCTTCTAGACCTCGATGAATGCTCGACATTTGATAACTGCCACCAAAATGCTTTTTGCAACAACACAATTGGTTCTTTTCATTGCACATGCAACGATGGATATACAGGAAATGGAACTTTTTGTCAAGGTATCTTACTGGCTTTGAATTAGCCTGCATGTGTTGCACAAAAAACACTTGAAAAAATTATAATGATTTGTTGCTATATGAATAGCAGGTATATTCCTAACGCTGAGACCTTAGTTAAAAAAGGCCGGCTAATAAAATAGCGTGAAATGACTACCTCACACTGAAGTGGGAGATTTAAGTTAACTTAGATAAGTTATAGTTACTGTATAATTCTATTTAGTTTATTATTATTTTGGAAAAAAAAACAATGATCGATGGTACAGAATCACAAGCATATATCAACGGGACATGCAGGCATGATTTTTGAAAAAAAAAATGAAGCGTTGTATAATTATGCGTTGATTGCAATTTGAATTTAAAATCGTTTTAGATATTGATGAATGTTTACAATCAACGGACAACTGTATGGCAAACTATAATTGCACCAACACTGATGGATCTTATCTATGTACCTCTGATAACCAACATGCCACGAATGGATCTGATTGTAAGTAAAATAACTCAATTAATGGCCCCTTTTTGCATATAACTTGACTGTTCTTATACGCATGTCGCAGACCGTGCTTGAATTAATCAGCTTCAGGTGTTCACACGGTAAAAATGGATGAAAAATTGACCAGTTTTTCCTGTACACACGAGGAAAACGGACGATTTCGAGCACGTCCCAAATTCATCCTGTTCAATGTAAAAAAGTGAACCTAATTGCTAAACAATACTAACTAAAGATTTCCATAGCCATGCGTAGGTGGAATTTCGTTTTAAAACTAATCGTCATAATATTTGTTTACATTTTGCATAAAAGATCCCTAGACAACAATGCATGTAAATGCAGAATGGCAGACTCAAGATGTTGGCTGGCGGGTCAGATGAGCGACAAGTGTACAAATCTGTAAATTTATCTTACCTAATTCTATTTCTCACATATCATGCACCCTCAAAAAACCCCAACCCACATAAATTTTCCAACAATCATGTTACCATCCCTACGCCTAACTAATATCGTTTAACAGAGGCGAGGGGTTGCTGCATGCATGTATTTCAAGAAATACATGTATGCAGAAACCCCTCGCCTCGGTTGAACGAAATTAGTTAAGCGTAGGGATGGTAACATGAATTGTTAGAAAATTTATGTGCGTTGGGGGTTTTCGAGGGTACATGGTATGTGAGAAATAGAAATTGAGAAAAGTAAGAGTATGGAAATGTTTTTCTGCACGTGGAAACACTGTAGTTATAGCAACTCGCAAGAGCCGTATATTAAAGTTTACCCTCATATTTTTGTGGAAAAAAATGTCAAAAATACGACAAGATTCTTGCCTTTTCCTGGAAGTTAAGTTACTCATCTACAGTCAGTGTTATGGTAAATTATTTTAATTGTTAAAAACCACGAAATATAATATCAGACGTCTTATACAACTTCCGAAGTTTTTTGTTACGCTTCGACTGGTTTTTGCACGGGAATGTCTTGATTTTCTTTTCTTTTTGTCATTATGAAAACGGAGTTTATAAATGAAATCAAAATGACTTTTATCACATAACACAATAATATGTTGGGGAAACAACACCCAGTGAAATCTGCAAAAATATAAAAATGTGATCAGTCCACCCTATGCGCTAAAATCTTTGTCAAAGAACGGGAAACAAATTGTAGTATTTTAAGAACAGGTATAAAAACCTAGCTTTACTTATTATCGCGTTTTGTCAACAAACTACGATACAATGTGTCTGCTAAACTCTTTCCAGTTTTTGCTCGTCAAAGTCCATCCCTTCCCTATCAATCTGGTAATGCATATTTAAATTACCGAAAGGAGTTCTTCATGTCCCAACATGCATTGCACCCTTGACAGTTGGGGAACTAGAACTCATTTCTGCGCCTTCAATTTCCATAATCATGGAAATTCAAAATTTATTGCCATTTCAGCTTGCACGAATCCTAAAGCATTAGGAATGGAAAGTGGAAAGATCCCAGACTCACAAATAACTGCATCGTCGGAATGGGATCACTTACACGGCGCAACCAATGCGCGGTTAAATTCCGCTAAGAATTCTGGATCATGGTCATCAAGATTAAATAACCAAAACCAATGGCTTCAGGTTGACTTCAAATTCCGCGCGACAATTACCGATATTTTGACTCAAGGCCGTGGCATTAAGCACAACCAGTGGGTACGAAGCTATACGGTTTCATACTCTGATGATGGTCATAGATTCAAACTCTACCAAAGAAGCGGGCAAGATAAGGTACAATTATTTTGAATATATTGCCAGGGGCGTGCCGAGCGTAGGAGAGGGGTATCAGTGTAAATTAATACGGAGTTGACGGTTTTAAAACAAAAGTGGTCGACCGCTGATAGATAAAATTACTAAGGTAGATGACCACTGTAGTACATTTATGTTAATTTTTATCCCTCCATAAGCAAAATTGTGAGAATTCGTGGAAAAGTGAAATAGAAATAGTGGAATTAATTAGAAAATTCTTGGAGACACAACACCCCAATTTGAAAGACATCGGTACTTCACTGTAAATATTCCAGATACACTATTTTCCTCAGAAGTAAGTAAATTAAGGCCTCGTGCGCCATTATCCTGTCACAATTGTGAGAGGATAATTGGTTGGAATGGTCGAGGCGATCTCTTTAAAATGAAATTGTATACGGAATGCACTGATTTTCTTAATTCTGTATGTTTTAGGTATTCGCAGCGAACGTTGACGTTAAAAGCATTGTTAAAAACACACTCCACCCTGTTATTGTCGCTCGTTTCATCCGAATCAATCCTAAAACATGGCATGGTCATATTTCCATGCGAGTTGAATTCATTGGATGCTTTAAAGGTATAAATTTGACATGCAATCAATCCTACAAACGCTTCAAGCTAAAAAGGCAATTGCATAGCTAAATGCATGGATGTAAAAAGTCTCCATACGCGACCTATAGGAGCTTCATATTCTAGATTAGACCTAATCACCAAAAATGCACAGTACTTTGCTTTATCGCGTTTTGATACAACCAATTTTTAAACAACTAAAAGACCTAACTATATAACCACCTGTCTCGATTAGCCCTTAAGGTTACTTATAGGTGGTTATGCACATAATACTACCGTTATAAAAAAGCTTATTAATTTTGTAGAAAATTGTTGTATCTTTCGTGTGCAAAATATATTCTATTCTATTCTATTCTATTCTAACTGTTATTCTGTGTAAAATAAAATTCCGCATGTTTCAAAAGATAGATAATCAGTTTTAATGCGCAAAAAATTTTTATTTGTTTACAAAAACTTGCATATATTATATATATTGGACACATGCTATTTTCCAGGCCAACCATGTGCAGCAGAACCATGCCTTCATGAGGGAAATTGTGATAACGTTGGCGGGAAAGTTGTGTGCTCGTGTCTTGCCGGGTATTATGGGAATAGATGTGAACAAAAAGGTACCAAGATGTATATATAATATTATAGTAATTCTAGTTCCCCACATTCACGGTATTTGGCCATTCACGCGAAGTTGTGGTGGTGGAATGGTGATAGTGAGGCCGACAATGCATTAAGGGACTGTTTTGGGACGTAAACAAAGGTTCGTCCCAAAAACAGCCCCTTGGCCATGATGCATTATTAATATCAATATTACCAGTCCTTTGCTATACGACTTCAGAATGGCTTATTAATTAAATTCGATACACTATGATGTATTATTTTCTTCGTGCTTTTAAAAATGGTTATTATAATACAGCTCGTTTAAGATTATCGTAGAAATAAACAGGTGTTGAAAGACGAAAATTTGATACCAATTTTATGTTTTTTTTAATCTGGCAGTCTCAGCTTT